GGGGGGGGGGGGGGGGGGGGAGCCATCGGGGAGAGAGCAAAGGCACGGTTTTCCTAGGAAGGGATAAATATGAGTACACGCGCTAAACGCGAATGCCAATACGACTCTCTCTGTGCACACTCTTTCACAGAGACACACATCACAGCTCCACACAGCCCTCGCCCAAACCTAGGAAGCCACTGATACAGACAGCAGGGGGCAGCAAGCTTACAAAGTCGGCCCAGCAGGGGGAGGCACCCCAACAACGTCAAAGTCAAACGCAGTACAAAACCAAGACGACAAATGGACACAAAAACGGAAAGAACACCCGTGTCAGTCTTTCGCAATCGCCATCGCCACGCGAGAACAACAAATTCGTCGTGTGTCGACACTACAGTACTGTATGCAGTCTTTTCATGCCATGGAAGGAAGCTCGGTAGGGTGTCTACCTGGTTCCATGCCATACACAATGTAGAGCACCACAGGTGCCATATGCGCATTATTTGACTCAAGTCACGTACACGCCCTAGAACACGGACTAAACACCTACAGTGCCGGCAAGTGTCAGACCAAATACGGGTGCTTTGGAAAAAAAATACATGCTTCAATGAATTGAGCGGAACCCACATGATCGTGAGAAAGCTCTCATCAGTAGCGATCGAATAAGCCTATCCACAGCGGGGGGTTTGATCTTTCAAGAAAGTTATAGCCCCATCACCATCACTGCAGAAGACACTTTCTTCCCACAAGAATCGCCATATCTCAACAACGATGGCAAACCCACCGGAAAAAATTGCGTTGTCGACAAGCTGTTTTTCTTGACTGTTTTATTGAGGCGGAATCAGTCCCGAGTGTGTTGAATGAAGCATAGCTGAAACAAAAGCAAAACCGTGGAAACATAAAACCAAGCACCTCTCCAGATTTTTAGCCTTGAATATTTATCATGGGGCAATATGGTGATGACTCAAGGAGTAAGGCTCGTTATAAACGCAACGGAAGAGTCGTGCAATTTTTCACGGAACGGTGAAACGATAAGCCGACTTTTTTTCGCTTGTTCTATTCGTGATGTCATCGCAAAAAGTACGTTTCCTTCCCTGAATACACGCGTTGCTCGGCACACAACAGGTTGACTTGGTGTTGCTCACCATAGAGCAGCGGTAAAAGCGCAATGAGCAGCATCCGACACGGAGGCCAACACACTTAGAAAGATCCTATCCACCCGGCCTGCTGTTTTCAGTTTTCAGCAACAACAGGCGCAGGGCAGAGTGTCGCAACCTGGGTGTTACTTGCGATTTCTTCAGTTTGCCACCTCATTTTTCACGGTTGCGACTCCCATCTTTGACCACCACCTGCCCAAAGGTAGACGAGCTCAACAATCATAGGGCGGCAGCCGCGCTGACGGCCAGCATCATATAGATGGCCATCCGAAAGAATTAGCGTGTCGGAGGCCCAGCTGCTCTTCTGCTGCGTGGTGCCGTGGATTGATGTTGACGTGTCCGACCAAAAAAATAGAACGCCTCGCCGCATTTACTTTTCCAATGGCATCTTGGTGAGGTGGCACACGTCTCTCACACACCTTTTTGAGCAGCACCCAAGCACCCAATACCCACAAAGCAGGACGGCGCCGGGAGATGGTATCTTGTAGACAGCCGAACCGAAGGAATCAGCGCGTTGGAGGTCTTGGTGCTGATGCTGTACTCGTTCTACTGTTTCCGTGTTTGCTATGTGCGATTGAAATAAATTCCCAAGCACCAACAGCAGCAGTTGAAGACGAGAACACCACGCAATGTCTAGTATTGGACCAAGAACGGACTGAACGCCGCTTCTGCCGCTTGTCCATCTCCACAACAGATCTGGACGTGAGTCTGGTAGGTCTTTCTAGCGTTCTCAGTGATCTTACAGCCCCCGTGGTGCGCTTGTCCGATGCTTCTGTCAAAAACACAGATCCGTGAAAGTAGCAAGCCCCACAAATCCCGGCTCCTTTTCACGTTTTCGGGGATAAATGTCTCCATACATGTTCAAGAAAAAACGATTCCGTGCAATGTTCCGTGATTTTTTTGTCGTTAATAATACCCCTAATTGAGCAATTTTAGAAACGATTACGGGAAAATGACCGTGAACGTTACATCTATATGAGGGCACATGTCTACACCCCCCTGTGTCAATGTGCGGTGCGAATCCAGCGTAAGGGGAAAGCGTGTGACATCAGTCCGCCTGGTCTCTGGTCCGAGTCTGAAAAATAGTCATATTTATTTGTTTTTTCCTTATTGTTTGTTTTCAAAAATATATGCAATTTTCTTCGACCTCATCAAAACAATATTCGTCACCTGGTCTTGTCGGTGCCATCACGGGCAATACGTACATGAAGGGAATGTCGAAATCCATGACTTTGTCAAAAGTTATGACCGGTCAACTAAAATCGGTCTGACGCTTGCCGGCACTGTCCTCATATTATACTTGTACACGACTTCAAAACACCAAAGACCAAAACCAGTAACCCCAGAGTGCTGTACAAATTTCAATCGTCGGTGACTACCCGTGACTAGCCGTGATGCACCTGCCACTCTTCTCTCCTAGTGCGACGAACGGCGACCTCGAACTCCTCGCTGTAGCGATTTTGAAGGCGGAACTTGGTGATCCGTCGCACTCGGTCCAACTGTATTCAAGGCGGAAAACGGGAGGGTCGCGCAGGAAACAAGAGGACAGGCAGGTAAAAGTGACTTGTCTACCTCAAAATTGAACAGCGATCATGGCGTGCAACTTTGTTAACCCTAACCCTTGGAGAAATGTTACACCACCCTCCACCTGCAGCACTCGTCTTCCTCCCTGGCAGCGGTGCTTGCAGCAACACCCACGTGTTGCGACAAGCGAAACGTGCCACAACTTTCTTCTCGTCGCGTATTGTGCTGTGTTTGTAAGAAAACACTTCCTCCATGTGCTGTGCTTGTCACCGAATACCAAAAAGCAGTGCGACAAGGGGCTTGCGAGATGTAAGGTCAAGCACTCGGGCTTCAGCAGCAGGTCTGCGCGAGGAACTGCTTCCAACACGAAACCGTGCACTTTCATACCCGCACGCAGAAGTACGCCTCTTCGGGCTGTCCCGGAAGCCAGTACTTCTCATCCCTCTGCTTCACGTTCTCCACCAGGTGCACCTGCATCGTCACAATGGCATAACGTCGTAGAACATGCGATCGATCGGTCTCTTGCGATAAAAAAAAAGTCACCCCATGACGCCTACCACACCTGCAGGCCTTCGCAGTCTCTGCAACATCACCCCAAATCAAGCCCAGGAAGAGGTCATCTGGTCACAATCTATATCAAACAGTGCCTCACTAAACACCCGAGCTGATTCAAGCCCACCGCCACTCCAGCATGCACCATGGAGTTGAGCGGTGAAGCGCTGGCGAGCAATGCTTGTCTTTGTGTGAAATACCACCTTCACCTCTGAGAGGGAAGAACTATAATCTTCGACGTGCCCCACGCATCCCTCATCCTCGCCGAACAGCACTCGCTCATGCCCACGATACTGTCAAGGGAAGAGTTGAATTAGCGCACAGAGCACGGGACAGAGACGACGGTACTGCTGTCACAGAGGCAAAAGGACAACGCATATTGTAGTTCATGGCCTTTGCGTGATGGATCTGACCAGCAAGCACAGCCCGTAGTAAATCAGCAAGGTCCTGCTGGCCCTTGCATGCACTAACATAATAACACAACCGCTTGTCCAAGGTACGGCATTTCTGTTACTTAGATGTAGCACAGGTGACGACGCGAACAAAAAAAAACACAAAAAAGCAGCAGCAGCAGCAGCAGCAGTAGTCGCCTACCTCTCACAGGTAGAACATCATACATACTGCACGAAAACACTGACCTTGACTCGATGGTTTCCCGGGAAAAGCTCGTCCACATCCACACCGTCCGGCCTGATCGCTTGAAACCGGTAAGCTTCGTGCAACAACCTCTGCGCTACTCGGCTGCCCGTTATCACTGGAGATTTCTCCACCACTGCATGCATCGGTTCCAGCAGACGGGGGTGGCGAATGGGCAATTACTCAGTGCGTCTTCAAGTCGCGAATATAAGACGTACCAAGGCGGAGCACACTCGGGGAGCACAAACTGCGGCAGGGTCGCGTAAGCGTGTGGACGAGCGTCCTCCTCTGCACTGCTGTCTGTCGCCTTTGACCCCCCACCTCTCTGTAAGCTCTGCCAGAATGGCAGGTAAACAGCAGTTTGCGGGCCACAATTCAGAAACGCTGGGTGGTGGACAGTTGACCCCGAGGGGTGCGAGAGGTGACAGGAAGACAACGACAGACACCAACCCGACGGCCGAACACTGTACTGCACCTTGGCAAAGGAAGCTCGTCGATACAAGCGGGAACCGAACCTCCATCAAGAGCTCGTCCACGAAGGCCTGCTCCTCTTCCGGGATGGGGACCATCGTCTCCAACGTCCCCTTCCCTTCGTCGGTCATGCCTTCGATTGGGGATGAGCTATTAGGCGAACTGACTGCAGCCGCCTTGCGCACGTTGGCAACAGGGGGCTCCGGCGGGGGAGGGGGGTGCCAAAAGGACGCCGCCCGCTGCAGCACCTCTCCCGCGTACCCGCCTTGTTTTCCCTCTCCCCCAGCCGAACCGCTTGCTCGTCTTTGTAGCACTCGGCCGGCTTCCCCTTCCGCTACTCCTTTCGGGGGTTCGTCTCCAACATCCATCGTCGATCGCCCCTCGCTTGCACCCCCGATACTTCCTCTCCCCCCCAACCCACGCGCACCCGGGGATGCATCTGAACGCGTGTCGCGCATGGCGGTATTCGAGGCAGTGGTTATAGAGACGTTGCAAGTCGGACCAGTAGAAGAAGATGGTCGTCGGGTGACTGCTTGCTCTTCGCCCCTTAATCTTCTCGCTGCCGCCGCAGCCCCCGCGGCAGTGGGAGCCGAAACCAGTGCTGCGGCTGTCGCTGCCATTGACACCGAGGATGGCAATGAAGGCGGAGGGGCGCTTGAAGCGCTGCTGCTGCTGCCACTGCGGCTGCGGCTGCTGCTGCTGCTGCTGCTGCTGCTGCTGCTGCTTATGCTACTGCCTATGCTGCTGCCACCGCGGCTGTCGGTCTCTCTCGTTCCTCCAACGCGGCTCTGTGCCGACGTGCCTTCGGTAGTGCTCCTGAGCGTAAACCCAGCACCCAAATCTGGCCGCTCTCGGCCATTCAGACTTCTCGGGTTCTTCTCCAAAGACGCGGAGGACGCGGCATCCCTCACCACACTACGGGCACCGCTACCGGCACCGCCACCCCCCTGCTCATCTGTGTCCTGCACTCTTCCCGGCACCGTCGTTGATGTTGATGGAGGGAAATCGGTGGCGCTCAGGGTTTTCTTGACGCTGTGCGAGCTCGATGAGCCGCGCTTTGATGTGCTCCCTACGCCGACCGCCTGCGTGCCTTGTTCTGCCACGGCCGGCGGCGGAGACCTGCCGACGGCGTAGTTGCGCGTGGCGCCACGGATAGATCGGCGATGCTCCCACGCCTTAGCCCACCCGTCCACTGCTAGAAACACCTGTATCAAAGCGCCCCCGTAGCAGAACGTCAGGACGTCGGAGGAAAGGCGTACCGTGCAAGTGGAAACACAAGGGCCCGTATACGAGGAAGCCGGGAGGGAATGAATCATCTTGACTCTTCCTTGACTTTTCGGGACCATCGGAGGGGTACAACACAGGGGTTGTGGGATGCTAAAAATGCGGACGCTTCGCTTTGGTGCTCACAGGCTCCAGACGAGATACGAGACATTGAGTGCGCTGTTGAAGTGTGGCATGGCTCCCGAGCAACTCACTCTACGTCGCCCTTACGGATCGATTTAGATGATGCAAATTATTCTGCACCTGCAGAGTATACCTCCCGATGACGGAAACATGGATTGCAAGGTTAGCATTCGTGCAAGGGATTTTTTATTCCGAAACGTGAAGGGACGGTGGCGGTATTTGTCTCAAGAGGTCACCGTCTCCTCGTCGACGGTCAGGCCGTCATGCTGCAGCACGCGCAGCACTGTATCGCCCCCCAGAGAGTTGAAGTCGCCGCTACCGTCGTGGTGGACCTGTACGCCACGTATAGTAACAACAAGAGGAACGAGACGCAATACATACAGCAAAGAAACCTGTCTATTCGATTAAACACGAAACACAGCTGGGGCAACAGGTGCAGGAGAACAAATACGACCTCGGTGGACACAGCGTCTACTGGTGCTGTACTACCATGGACATACAGCAAATGACACAAGATAACACACCCCCTGGACCGATTTTTCAAATCTCGATTTCTCAACAACAGAAAGAGTCACGGCACCGAAAACGGCGGCGTTGGAACCGTCTTGTCGAGAGCTTTCCAAAAATGTATCGTTTCGTTTATGCATCCTCTTCGTTGTGGAGTAATCGAGCTTTGAAAATTGGTCCAGGGGGTGTGTTATCTTGTGTCATATACGGTAGGTTAACCAACCTGATGCTCGAAAGACGTTCAGAGGTTGGACTCTCGAGATGTCCATGTCCAACCACGTGCCTGCCAATTACATCCGACACAGCGGAGGAACCCATACCACCTTGATATCGTGCGGATTTCAAGCCTACTCCATGGTCACTAGCACCCCTTGTCCGACCCGGGCCGCTGTCTACGCTGCATAGGGCTAACTGCGCAATTCCTGCGTCATTGCCCAAGGGTCAAGCGAAAAGCCACAAACACACGAACGAAGGGGAGGGCGAAGTGTCTGTAACCAACACAAGCACAGGAGCACCCTGTTTGGCAGAACCCACCTCGTCAAAATGAACCGCAAGGTACTCCAAGGCAAAGGCTGCAGCCTTTGGCACACGATGCTCCTCCGCGGAAAGCAGATGGGCCACTACGTTGCTCGGGTGAAGGCGCCACTGCCACACACACAGAGAGGGAGAGAGGGAGAGGGAACACGAAAGAAGGATGGATGGACGTTCAAGCAAACCCGCAATCGAACGGCGAGGCTACTCGTCAGGTGCTGTGCCAACATGTGCATACACCGAGAGTGATTGGTGAACTTTCTCTCTCATGGTGGTGCACTATCGGTACTCACTGGAATCATGGCGTAGACCACACGTGCGTAGGGCTAGGAGACGACCGTTAACACCCTACGGCAGCAGGGTTTGGCTAGCACTGCAACGAGGTTTGGGGAGGGCAGAGCGCAAGCGCAATGTTCGTCACCGTCTTCGCGAGCAGCCGTTAGCAATCACAAACTCCCGCCGACAACCAATAGACCGCAGCAGATAGATAGGCAGCACTGCAGGTAGAGCTATTTCGACTGCTGGTTGTGTTCCAGGTAGTATGCATACCTCTGGCAGGAGTTTTGGCCACCTTCATTCATCTCACCTTCATGTAGCCCTCGCACTGAGCCATGAGCGGCAGCACTTCGTACCGGTTCGCCAGGGCGGAGACCGGCATCACGTTCTGGTCATTGAGGCCAATGCATCTGCTCCGTGACGATGAACGGGGGGGGGGGG